TATGCCAATACATTTATGAGGGCATGTGATCAGCAATCCCTTGTTACGTCTCAGTTGGTTGAGCTGTTCTCTGTGTTCTTTAGTCAATAGATTATTTCATTTAGATTTTGCATTGCTTTACTGATGGCATGAGTTTAGAATTGTTGACTTAAAAGGTTTGAGCTCCTCTTTAGAGACTGGGAGAAGATCACTAGTCTGACTGATCAAATTTTCGCAACCTCTACATATGTATGGAGCTTATTAATGTTTTGGTTCATGTAGCAGAATTTCGCCCCATATCTAGAAGAAAATGGAGATGAATCGGGCATATGTTGAGGAGGTCATCGAATGACATTGTGTGAGTGGAACGACAAGTGGGTCGTCAGTGCGAGGATGACATGGAAGAAATCGTGTGTTAGTGAGGTGTTGGAGATGAGAGATTCTGGGCAATCTTGGGACTAGGTGAAAAGGACAGCAAAGAATAGAACAAAGTTGAGATGTGTTGTTGAAACTGTATGTTTCACTCGGAACCAAAGGGAATAATAATAATAATGTAGCCCACTAATACAGTGTACATCTAAAATCCTATATGGTAATCTTCCTAGTGTACATTTAGCTTTCGTAATTCAGTGATTAGATCCTCACCAATCAATCACGCACATAGTCCAAGTTCGATTCCTATTCAACGCACTGCTTAACCTCGCTTAGCCAGCAGCAAGCGCAGTAAAGGGCAGAGGTTGGGTGTCGCTACTAAATTTGCAAAATTTCAAGCTTGAATGTTAAAAAAACACCCTTTTGTACTTACAGCTGACGCATACAAACATCTTGTAGAACCCATTCATCAACTAAATTTTGAATTTCTGGGAATTTCGTTCGAGAAATGTCATCCCTTTAGAGAACTGTTTGAGAAAAACTGATGGTGCACTGAAACCAAAGCAATCAGTTCGTTTTCAAAGCAATAAATTTACAGGTTTGATCACGAGTTGATTGATATATCAGTTGAATAACCATTGAAAACTCAGACAGGAAGTTCACGACAGCTGCTTCGTCCCATTTCGGGGCTCTTCAGAAACATGTATGTACCTACCGGAGTTCCAACACAGGACTCTTCTGTTACAAGGCAAGTCCGCAAACAGACCGTTCAGCCATTGTGACATGCTGTAATGATCTATGAATTCTAACTTCTGTCAATTCCTGGTATACATATAGCGCGCCAGCGCCAGCCAGTGTCACAGGCGAGTAACATGTTCTCTTGGCTGACTTCGTGGACCCAGCTGGTTATGACTTCTCGCTTGGACTTCAAGTAACTCTCTCTCTCTCTGTATGGAGTCAGTCTGTAGTGAGCAGAAATTTGATTGGTTACAGGTTTGAACACAACATTGGCTGCCAGTTTCACTACATACATCCAATTCCAAATTCAATGAAGAATTCTATGTACAGATAGATGGTGTAGCTATGGGGTCTCCTCTCCGTCCACTCCTACTTGACTGCTTCATGATGAGTCTTGAAATCAACTTCCTTGATCCTTTGATAAGTCAACTGCACCTGTATAAGAGATCTGTGATGAAAAATTTAATTGAGAGTATTCTACTCAAAACCTTCAACGTGGCACACCCATCAATAAAATTCAGCATAGAACTTGAATCAAACATGGCATCTCCATTCCTGGGTATGACTAATTACCAGAAGGCAAGAGTGCACGATCCAAAGATCAATATATCTCAAGGCAACATAAACGGGAGGGTTTACCATCTTCCACTGGTTCGAAAGCAAAACCTAGTACGTACATTAAATTCAAGAAATAGAAAAAAATTGTTTGGAAGACATAATAGAGAATGAGTTGAATTCATTATGTGAAACCCTACTAGAGAACGTTTATCCACCAAGGTCAATTGATAAAAACATGAAGGAAAAGCTTTCGTTGCCAAAAATCACAACTGTTCCTAAGAAAACTCTCTTCATGAACTTGGAATTCAAAGATAACATCGAAGCTGAAATTCTTAGAAACCGTCTTTCAAAATGTCTGAAGAAGACATTTCCAACAGCCACTTTACGTATCACATTCTCCAGCAGACAATTTATCCAGGCTTACCTTAAGGACGGGATACCGCATTTGGCCACCTCAATGTGTACTTATCAGTTTACTTGTACGTGTGGAGCAAAGTTTATCAGCTGTACGCAAAGTCAAGTTCGCCAAAAGCATTCTGGAACACTGTTAAGTTTGGCTGGCCAAAGGAGAAAAGAAGAAAACTAGCAGCTCCCCTCCCAAACACCTTGTTATTTCTGGACATTGAGCACCCACGCCGCATGAATGCTTCACAGAGTCCCTCAATGTCATACAAATGAACTTTGAATACGCCGCCTGTGCATAGCTGAATCGCTAGTTATTCGACATCTGAAACCCGACCTCTGCATTCAAAAGCACCAATTACGTTTCCTCTCCCTAACGTGGTCAGAGTAACATTCTTACTACAACTTTGCTTCCTTTTCATCATGTAAGTTTACTATTATTATTTTATTATCACTATTATTCCCATCATCCATATTTTGTTGCCACTCTATTACTGTTTATTGATAACATTGAGTTTTCATACAGATCTTATGTAAAAACACTTTGTCGTCGTCTCACTAGTTCTTGTCCACTCTACACAATCATATCGATTAGTCATTTTCTCACGCTTATCACGTCATACCAACTTCTGTCCCTTTCCTAACTTACAATTAATGAATTTAAATAAGGCAATAAGAAGAGGTAATTTATCTGAATCGTGTAATATTGTATTTGCGCAACACATTTCGAACAATCTGATCACACAAGGACTTGTCATAGGAATATATATGAAATTAATCAAGACTTAAGAGGTAAGGAAATAGACTTAGATCAAGTTAAAGGGACATATTCAAGGTCGAAATAACAATGAAGACAACTAAACCAAATAGCAGAGGTAATAGTGCATCTGCTATGGTATCAAAACAAAATTTACCAAGGAAGGTTTAATGTGATGACGAATTGTTTTTGAACGCGTAGAGGTGGTTTAAACTTTCTAATTGCCAACTGGGGCTTCTACAAACTTTAGGATACACCCCAAATACGTTTTATAGATAGGTTTAAAAGATCTGTTAACATCAATTTTATGTCCTGTCTTTATAATATGTTTCGCGATAGAGGAGCTAGGTCGCCTGTTCTCACCATTAATGGGTTCTGAAGATTCTATTTGCTTCTGGAGCCATTTAGGAATATGCTCTGAATCCCTTACTTGCAGAGATCGATGAGTCCTGCCTATGTATGTGTGTCTACACGTACGTTCAAATTGGTAAGTACAGTGGGATGTGACATCACTTTTCGCATGTTCTAAGGGCTCAGATGGATATATCAGCTTCACATTCTCAATTATTATGATATTAACTGCATAAAAAATCTTTTTAACAGCAGTGTTCAATCTTTGTCTAGTTATCAAGCTGCTATGATCACCCATATAGAGTAGCTTGGTGTACACGTCTTTCTTAGCGACGAGTTGTAGAGTGGGTCTTGGTGTTCTGACTACTTTATATTTCCGGATGAACTTGTTTAGATAATTATTATCAACCAGAGTTTGATTCAACCAGAATATCGCTTCATCATTCGATGAAATCCATAAAAGTTATTTTGAACCAGTTACGTAAGGAGACATGTAGACTTCTTGACTAGTTGGTTAGGGTCCTCGAGATGGTGGGAACCAATGAAGGCTGATGACAATCGGTGATACGGCTCAAAATTTTCGTTGTTAATGGCTGGCGCAGATGCATTCACTCTTTATGATATATATTATCCAGTAAAATTCTTTTGTTCTTCCATATTACTACTCTCTTCACTTCACTCATACTTCTGTTTATCGTTTCTCTTTTGATTATTCTTTCCTTCCTCTCTTCTCTTGTTTTTTGTGTGCTACATGGAGTGAGGGTGGCAACCCGAACTGCTGCATATCTGTGCAGGGCAGTTCTACGTTGAAACCAGTCAGTCAGGAATTATTCTAGAATCATTGAAAATTAACTATGTGTCAAAATACCTGACAAAATCTCCATTATTCTAATTCATTAAAATCCACCATATAAACTAAATTTTTAAAAGTAATATCTATGTTAGAATAAGTTGTTATTTCATACTGTAGAACTTTTTCGCTTTTCCACCCTTAGAAATCTGAAATCTATAAAGTCAATCGTGTGATCTCTCTTATTCCCTAAATTATTATTATTATTATTCCCTTGGATCCCTCAGTGTGTCTTTATTTCTCTCTGTTCTTAGCTACATTTTTTAGCTGGCTGTTCTATGATTCTACATAAGCCCTCGTTTTCACTTCCCTGCACAAATTCTTCCATGTCAACCCCAAAATTTACACTGAACTCGGTGTGTCCTATTCGGAGTCCATGTGAGGTCACTTAGCTGTCTCTTCTCACCGTCTGTCCAATCCATCGTGATTACCTTTTTTGCACATTTGTGGGGCGATAGGTTCTTGGTCGGTTCATTACCAGAGTTCCTTGTGGCTTGACCTTTTTGACTGACTGTCTAAATTTCTATCTAATTCCACGCAAACTGTATGCTAAAGACACTTGATTTATTGTTTATTCTCTTTTAAAACACATACTTCGTACCAAGAAATGTGCCACACAAAATTTCATAGTTTGTGCGGCGTCTGGGATACTGTCCGGATCCCTAGATCGAGGCGGATCGTTTTTTAAGGGGCCACTTCCGGGCCTTTGACTTGAAGTCTGATCCAAAAGGCAGCAAAGCAGCGTCAAAAACTTTGTTCGCATGGTTGCTGGTGACCGAAAACAGGCCGGTACGCCAATCGGTCTGCTCGGATCCTGGAGCCCATGTGCATCCTATGTTTGGAGTAATCAGGATCTTCCTACTTCCCTACGTAGACCAGCATGCTCACTAGTCTGGTTGTAGCCGCTATTTGAAGACAATGCCACGAGCTGTGATCGTGTGACCACATGACGAGAACGAAAGTCTACCCAACCTTGGTTGTACCATGGCGTCTATGGAAGCACAGACACTTTATTCCCCAGAAGGAAATGTGTATTATATTTTTTACTGTGTCTCACTCTCTGGTAACTTCTCTTTTCCTTAAATTTTTTCTAGAGTCTGGTGTTGGCGCTGGCATTGACTCTTATTATGAATATTTATTAAAGGCGTATATATTACTCGGTGAACCAGTCTACCTGCATCGTTTCCAAACACATTATGAAGCAGTGAATCGATATGTTGGTGGACCACAATCAGCTGAATTCCCCTTCCTATTTTTGGATGTACATATGCACCGACCAGCTCAGCGTGCAAGAACATTTATGGATGCCTTATTAGCCTTTTGGCCTGGTTTACAAGTGAGTGAATGCATATACAGCTATGTATGTAGTTGTAAATCTTAGATATCAACCCACATGTTTTTCTTTTTTTTAATTTATGCACCTAACACGCTACTCTATCCGCATCTTTTCTGTTATCTTTTGCTGAACACTAACAACTATAATCTAAATAAAATCTATAAGAAGTTCTATTTTGGCTCATTTGATTGATGTTAGCGGTCACCAAGTGGACAGAAATTGTGCCGCAATCAAAGTGATCTGTCGCATTCCATCGAGACTTTCGAACGGAATCAGAACCCGTCTTTTACACATAGCCGAAGCTATGGGAATTAATTTGAGAGAACAATCCTAGTCTTTGCATACAATAAAAGGAGTTTATTCTACCTTTGTCTCTCCCTTGCTTGGCCTAGGTGAATTGTATTCCAAACCCTCCCACCTTTTCTTATTTTCCATCTCCTTCGTATTTTTATGATATTTATTTAAACTCTGATTATATGTCCATTTCACCTTTAGTATTACGTAACTTCCAAGATTTGAACTAGTTTATTTATTTATTGAATTGTCTACATAAACATTATTATCAATATTTCGCTATCATTATAATCATCGTTATTTTCATTCTCATTGTATTTAACTACCACTGATTATGTTTTATTATTACTGACTTATCGTCATCCTAACAACAAGTCTACTGATTTTTTCCAGGAACTTCGCTCTCATACTGTAACGACAGAAGGCAAGAGTTAGGTAACAGATCGTTTATTCATGAAATCCACACATCACCAAATATTGGGGATGTACACATTTTTTTATTTCATTTTTTTATTTTTGATTACAACTTGATTCCACACCGTATTTTTGGTACAAGTATAGAATTTTCAGCATGTGATATTGGTAGCCCAAATTTTGCAGGCCGACCATATATATCAGGTGTGCGTCGGCAGAGGATCGAACTCCGGACCATGTGCATGATCGGTGAGAGTCCTAACCGCTGTGCCACCAACGCACATTTACGTGAATAACTATCTACCAATTTTGACTAACAGCTAGCTCTCACCACACTCGTCCCCCCGTCAAAGAATTTCGACTGAAGTTGTTTCGGTCTTCTTGGTTCTAGGGGCTTCGTTCGTTTGTCTTGTTGTCTGAAATCTCGGCGCTCGCTGATGTTCACTTGTTTTGCTTTGTCTACCGTTGCGATTGTGTCTGCGTAGCTCCATCTCAAAGTGACCATATGTGGTCCTCCCCACTTTGGAAACTGTTTGCCTGTCCCCGTCGCACATTCGTCGGTATTTCGCCTCACCTTTCTATATGGTGCTTTCTCTCGACCTCCCAGCAGCAGCCCAAGTAACAGCCTCATCGCTGACAGATCTTGAACGCCACTTGACTGCGCAGAAGCCTCGAAGTCCTGCCCAACGATCCATATGTCTCCATCAGAAACTGCGGGACATAGGCTTTCCACTTGTCAGTACGCAGCGACACCAAATGTAACAATAGAAGACAAGGGTTAGGCAACAGATTGTTTATTTAGGAAATCAACACATGACCAAATATTGGGAACGTACACATTGACGTAAATAACTATCTACCAATTTTAGCTAACAACCAGCTCTCACCACAATACCAGCAATTCATCTTGTTTTATTTCACTATTGTAACCACGGAAGACAAGGGTCAGGTAAGAGATCCTTTATTCGGAAAATCAAGAGATATTTATATATTTTTATATACACTATTATTCGTTAGTATTAGCAGAGAAGCAACGCCTTCTGATTGGTTGTTTTCTTACTCAAGGTTATTCTGTCATCTCTTTGTGGCTGCTTCTTTAGAAAGTCAGGTCATATATCTGCGAATCGTATCTGCACACGTTGAATCTGCTATGATTGGTTGGTGAATTCCTCAGGGTTAAGCTTTGTTATTGTTTTCTCCTCATGACCCCACGATTTGGGACGTAAACATTGACGTAAACTGTTGTCTACAATTTTGGCTAGCAGACAGCTCTCACCACACTATGACTTTCTTAAAACAATGCTTCCTTACTGGAGGACTGATTCACGATGATAAACAAAAATGTGTGTTAAAATTGAAATACTAATAATAAGTTTTATTAAATATCATAGGTTGTAGACAGACAGTTGACGAGAACCAACGAAGTGAAACCGATTCATATATCCCCCTGGGTCAATGTTTCTTCCATTTCTGTTCAAATTTATCAATAGAAGGATTCCTTACTTCCCTAGAGCAGATATGATATGTACCAGGCTGCATAAGTTGCATGCATATTGTGTGTGGTGTTAGGACCGATATTACCTAAAAGCCCAGAGCTGAAAAGCAAGTAGAGACAGGGGTTTCAAACCTAGAACCCAATGACTGAAAATCAAGTGATTAAACCAAGTTAGGTGCGTCGGTGGTATAGCGGTTAGGACGCTCGCCTACCATGCACATGGTCCGGGTTTCGATCACCGGCCACTGGACGCACTCCTTTACCTCGCTAAGCCAGAAATAATGCTGGTAAAGAGGAAAGGTTGGGCACGAGGCTAGCAACCCCATCCTGTAAAATAAACACTCCTACAGAAACTTCAAGCCACTAGGTTGAAGCCCTATGTTCCACTGGGGAACGTGAAGGAAAAAAACCAAATGGGTCGTGTTTGCCATGTTAACTGAACCCATAACGTTTTGTAGGAAATTGGAAGACTTTCAGATCTTTTAACCTGTTAATTAAGGTAGTCCACTGCCTGAAGCATAAAAGTTTATGGTGAAGACTTAAATTTCAACTGAACTTCAATGAATGATCTGCGTGAACACGGAAATTTCATTTTTACCTGATAGATTGACAAGGTGAGGATTAAAAGGGTGATCGCAAGGTGTTTTCGCGCACAGCAGCATAACGAACGCCACAACAGACATACTGGCTGTGTAGCAAAAGTTGATAAACACACGTTGAAAAACAACCAGATGTGACATCTGATATGATGATTACAGCACTCCTCTAAGCATGTAGTACAAAAACATTATTAAAAAACCAATACTACTTTTGAGGAAATTCAAATTGTAATTGACCGCCTTTATTTTAACCTATTCGACTATATCTGAGACGATAGCGTGGCCACTCCTACTCAATGTCTTCATTCCGTGCAGTTTGAGTGAGAGACAACGAAGTGGACGTACGTATTCGAGGAGATGATAGCTCATTGAGGAATAATCATGGAGTAAGCAAAAAATGACTCAGATTATGTGGAATTTGTATTAAATTAATTTCCTAGACGTTTTTCTAGAGAAAATGACTGATGACATAATTGAAAGATCTATATTTAGAAAGTCTTCAAGAGCTTTGTTCCAATCCAGTATAAAAGAACTTAGTCAGAACACTGTTCAATGGAGCACGAAAAAATTTGTTCTGACAGTACTATTGAGCATGAAATAAAAGCTGTGAAGGATATCTTATCTATGAATGGATATCCTGAGGAGTTCATTAACAAATACTCTAAAGAAATGAGCCCTTGCAAAACTATCCAAACAGTTCCGAAGAAATTTGTCAACATCAATTTACCATTCAAAGGAGAGTATGTACAGGAAGTAGTCAAATGAAGACTCGATAAAGCCACCAAGAGAACTTATTATGCTGCAAAATTTGTTTTCCTCAACACCACTAAGCGAGTGCTTCAACAATTTGGGAAATATCAGTCGCCAATCCTCGACACTTCAAACTGCGTATATCAATTTGAGTGTCTTTGTGGAAGCAAATACATAGGTCGTACAGAAAGGCGATTGTCTACTCGCATGATGGAGCATTTGCCAAAATGGTTGAAAACAGATGAATGCAAAGCGATAAAAACCTCAATAATAAAACATCTTGTGGACTATGGACATTATATCGACGCTATCAAGTCATTCACTATTGTCAGCAGACAAAGAAACAGGAAGACGCTTGCAGTCGCAGAGGCTTGTGCAATCAGAGTTTATAAACCAGGTCTCTGTGTACAAAAGGAGATGGTCGTCACTCAGAATCTACCATGGTAATAAGTTTTACTTACTATTCTACCTCTTATTATTATTATTATTCTTGATTCATTTAAAACTATCCCTTATCAGTAGCATTATCTTAACTCCCTTCAAAACTATTATTGCTGTTGTAAATGTTAGTGTAACTATTACTACTGATATTACTCTGTTTACCCGCCATCCAGCACACACCCAAATGGGATATAGACACTGGTCCGCCGTCTGCAAGTGAGGTCACAAAAGCTATCTGTAATTTGAAACGAGGCAAAGCGGCAGGACCCGACGGAATTATTCCGGAGATGTTTAAATATGGGGGTGACATACTAGTTTGTAGATTAACTGAGGTACTAGGCAAAGTCTGGGAATCAGAGACAGTTCCATCAGACTGGGGTAAGTCACTTATTATACCGATATTCAAGAAGGGAAACAAGTCCTCATGTGATAATCATAGGGGGATCAGCTTAACGAACATAGTCTCTAAAATCCTAGGCTCAGTAATCATGCACAGACTAAGCAGAACTCGGAAGAACAAACGAGGTTAAATCAAGCAGGCTTTAGACCAGGTAGACGGTGCATAGATCATGTCTTCACTCTCCGACAGATTCTAGAACATAGACACACTTTTCGGCGTCCAACAATTGCCATATTTCTTGACTTGAAGGCGGCCTTCGACTCCGTGGATCGAAAGGTACTATGGCAATGTTTGACTGTGAAGGGAGTGCCAAGAAAGTACATTGCACTAATCAAGACACTCTATTCAAACTCACGTAGTCGTGTAAGGGCTTATGGGGAATTGTCATCTGAATTGGTAACAACCAGTGGTGTCCGACAGGGATGTCCACTTTCCCCATTTCTGTTTAACTTCATCATAGATATGCTGGTGGAAGTATCCTAAACTGAACGTAATGACTTAGGAATCGACTTGTTACCAGGGAATAGTCTTATGGACTTAGAATATGCAGATGACATAGTCCTGTTAGGGGAGGATGCTGACAAAATGAGGCAGTCTTCTGAACACCTTGAGCAGCAATCTTCGTATGTTTGGCATGCGATTCGCCCCTACAAAATGTAAGATGCTGCTACAGGACTGGACTACGTCAACTCCTAACTTAGTGATAGGGAGTGAAGTGATAGAACATGTTGACCACTTCACCTATTTGGGAAGTTGTATTAGCACCAACGGACTGATTGGCGACGAAATCTCAGCACGGATCCAAAAAGCTCGAGCTGCTTTCGCTGACTTACACCATCTCTGGCGTAGGCGTGACATCCGGCTATCAACCAAGGGACGTGTGTACTGCTCTCAGCAGTTCGCTCCGTCCTTCTCTATGGCTCTGAAACATGGCCAATACGAGTTGAAGACATGAAAAGGTTGACTGTTTTTGATCATAGATGTCTGCGATCTCTTCCTCACGTTAGGTGGTTTAATAAGGTAAGTAATGTTGACGTTAGGCGTAGAGTGTTGGGCAAAGAGGGAAAATCAATCGACGAGGCTATAAAGTTACATAGATTGAGATGGCTAGGTCACGTGCTGCGCATGCCTAACCATCGCCTCCCCCGACGGGCATTACTAGCTGATATAGGTGCAGGTTGGAAAAGAGTAAGTGGTGGCCAAACAAAAACATGGCCTCATCAATCCATGAAATCCTTGACAGTTAAACTGAGTCGGTCAGGTAGGGAGATGCAGACTTCCGGGTTGGGGCCCTCGGGACTCTAGGAATCAATGGCTGGAGACAATAGGTGACATGGCTCAAAATCGTTGTCAATGGCCAGCGCAGATGTATTCAGTCTCTGTAATCTTTCATATTCCTTTCTACCATTACCCATTCTGTTTCACTCTTATACTTGTCAAACTCTATTGATTCTCTTCACTCATCTTCTTGTCTACCTCTGTGTGCTATTTGGAACGTGACAACTCGAAGTGCTGCACTTCGTTGCCAAGTTCTATGTTGAATCCAGACAGAGACAGGCAGATATTACTCTGTTTGCAATTCTTGTTATATTCTCTAATGACTAATTGTTTATCTAAGTGATCTAATTGAAGCGTAATGCATTTTATCTTAATTTTGATCTCTCCTACTCTCTCTCCCCTTATCTATTTCAACATGACCTGGAAAACATTCGCACCTGTCTTTCTTCATGACTAATTCAATGTAGTTTATTTGCTTATCAGTCTTATATCTCCCAATGTAATTTCAAAAGTATATATATCCGTGTATGTAGAGTATTCAGCTAACTAGTTCTACCGAAATTTGATGAATTCATTAAATTCTGCATTATTAGCCTTTGTTGCTTGTTTTGAATTCGTATCGGGAAATAAATGTTCTCAACTTCAGTTAGAGAAGTTAACGAAAATTACGGACCTCTGGACAGCTGTTTCGTCCTACTCTTTTGGAACTCTTCAGTAAGTAGTGCACATTTACGGCCCCTCCCCTCCCGAAGATCGAGCCTAAAATCCTTAGGTTACGAGGCTAACCCTCACTGACCATTCAACCACTTGGGGGTAGATGAAATTCTAACTTTGTTACCCTCACCATCACACCTCCAATGAGTATTCACCCCCACCCTTATACTCTACATTGATATACAATGGATAGGAAAACAAAATTACAGAAAATGATTATTTTGTAGCAATACACACAGGTGTCTGTGTGCATGATTGTATTTTTCAACTATGAAAAGTGGTTGACTGTGTATGATTTCATACAGTGGCAGGTGGAATAGTGTGCGTTTGAGAGAGAGAGAGAGAAAATAGATAGTTAGATAGACAGACACAAAGGAATTAGGGACCAATAGGAAGAAGAAGAAGAACACGAGTGTACGTACACCCACGCACTACGTACATACATAAACCAATAACAGATAACACAAAAGAAAAGTTGACCTTGACAAGTGTATATGTATATTAACACCCGAAAACAATGTGAGGAGGTGGGTGTAAAAAGAGCAAAAAGAAGGGGGAAATGGAACACACACGAAGAGAAAACGAGAATTTGTTAACACAATGTCAAATATAAATACATACAGAAACAGCCCAAAAAGGATCTCCCTGTCTGCATGGAAAAGACATAACAAATACACGCATATACTGTACACAAAAAAAGAGGAATCATAGCGTATATATATATATGTGGGAGGGGGGAAGAGACAGATGAGAAGACAAGTATAAACACAGAAAATGACAGGCATGAAGTAACAATTACAGAAAAAAAAGATGAGCACAGCTCATTCGTACGGACGAAAAATACTAAGAGTGGGGTAATCAGCAAACATCACTGATTGCTTGGCTAGTTGATTGATGAAAAGCATGATGACGAAGCATGTGTGTGTGTGTGTAAGTGTGATGAAGTACAGAAGAAAAACATGATAGGGAAAAAAGATATGGAAATAGAGAGGCAACCGGACGAGATACAAAGGAAAGGGAGGAAGAGACCAAAATAGAAGAAATAAAAAAAGGAAAAAGATTTTCAACATATTATTTCTCCCCCCGCCCCCAAAACACACGCATACATATATATATGTTATACTGTTGTTGTAGGTGAGTGATTGTGTACGATTATCTTATCACCAGGATCTTCTCACTGACATCATCATCATCACTGTTGTCGACAGCTCCCTGAAATTCCTTCATCGATATTACCATTTCTTTTTATAATCATCTACACTGACACCACCAGGCCCATAGGCTACAACTAAGCCTAAACCACCGATAACTGACCATGTTTGAAAGAAATCATATTTTAAGAAATCCCACATTAAACTATCATTACTCACAGACCAGAAACGATTATAATAGAAATTCATACCAGTTAACCAAAGAACCAATACTGTAGCGCATAATTTTGTCTTATAACCAATAGCAACTAGCAGAATGAGGATAAGATTACCGATGGACTGGAAAGATAAAAGAAGGAACACAGATATAAAATATGCATATTGGTGTGATTGAATACACAAAAATTGATATTTATGCATTTATTTCAAAATAGACCACGAGCTGGAGAACTAGAGAGTACCGACCGGAAAGCCATTTTATCCTACCTTGTGACTCCTCTTCAGCAGTACTGAGCATGACCCCACCTCGGGGATAAGACACAAGGACTTACCTTGAGGTGCCCCTATAAACAACCTGGCGCGGGGAGACGCTGGTCTTCCTCTCACAGGGCTCTCATGAGGTCAGGCCTTCATAGCCACTGACAGTCAGGTAAAGTCCTATTCCCTGCCGTCACATGACAGGGGTGTTCCTTACGAAAATGAAAAGGCGAATAAGAATATCTGGTGTTTACGACTGGACTGGTGGACAGGCTAGTTTATCTAGAGGAGCTGGAAAAGCCTAATTCCAAACCAATGGTGTACATGGCCGCCAGAATCTCAACATGTTTTGGTCACCTGAAACCATGTAAACACAACTCCTGACGCTTCCCCACTACCTTGTGGATTTGACTCGAAGTCAAAGGCTCGGTAGGGGGGAGGTGAGCCTGTCAGTTAATCACCACTTCAACGAAATCAAATATCCCATGAATTTTAAGTCCTGCTGACTTGCCATATTGACAGAGCTTCTGCCTGCCAGTATCATCAGTAAGTAAGTATCCTTTCTCACACCTAACTTAGTGTTGAAGATGTCTTATCTTACCCCACCGTTTTGAATTTTGTCAAAATGAGAAACTAACGATTTTCCAACTGAATTTTAATCTTCATTGACTCGGATAGTTTGCCGATGTGTGAGACATAAGTCAACAACGCAATTTGTTCCTTTCAGGAAACTAAAGTGTGTCAGTTTGAAACCTGAGTTTTCTATTCTGACTATGACGAATGCCGGATATTTGGGACTATTTAAGACCAGAAGGAAGAAGAAGCCTGAACTCACCCCTGGCAACTAAATGAATTGTAAAGTTTGTATGTTGCGTCTAGATGATTGCATAGGAGTCAATGAAAGTGTGAGAAGTGGGATTTCCAGTCGTATAACATACATTACATCAGCACCCACCGAACTACTTCACTTCCCGGCGAACGTACTCTTAAATTTCGCCTAGCTGATAGTAATCTCGAGAAAGAGGGAGGGTTTGATGTGGGCGAGGTTACCAACTGCATCTCGTAGGAGCGACATCACCGCCACTGAAACTTCAAACCCTGAAGCCCTATCTTCTAATCGTAGTGAAAGAAATGGAAATATTACTAGAGCAAAAAATAGGGTTGACAGACTACAAATCCATGCATGTGATTAACACTTAAATGCCATCGTAAATGGAGTTGATAAAATAAAAACCACAGGTTTGACCACGAGAACCATTGAATAACCTGGAAGTACTGAACAGCTGTTTCGTTCTAGTTTGGGACTCCTCATCGGGGTTGGAACCCAGCGACTTCCAATTACAAGGAGAGCTCGTACATCATTCAGCCAAAGGGACATGATCCAATAACCCGTGAATTTCAAGTTGTACCAGCCGTTGAAGAGTCCCAAACTAGGACGAAGCAGCTGTCCAGTACTCTCTCTGTCTGGTTTTTCGAGGGTTCTCTGACTTATGTCAACTCGTGGTCGAATCTGTAACCAATCAAATTCCTGCAAACCAACATTTGATGCTATAAGAGTTGTCTACGAGTATGAATTACAAAACCGTTTGATTTATAAAACTATTTCATCATCATACAATAATATCAGACTGATAAGCACTTCATCAGCAGATCTCATGTGAAAGTTTTTTCATTCTTTCGAGACCGAAGTGGAATATAGGGCTTTAAGCTTTTTCCAAAGTTTCAGCGCCGATGGTGTTGTTAGCCTCACACCACTCCCTCCTCCAACCATCTCTGTATTCCGGAGCTTACTACCGACTAGGAAAATAGGTGAATTTTAAGAATGCATCCACCGCAGTCGAACCCCAGGCCTCTCACCTGATTGGTAAGCATTCCTACTATTGAATTACCATCCCAGTATAAAAATACAAATAAACTATGAGCTGTACCTAATTTTGTACCACTTGTTTACCCCAGAGACTCTTAAATACAGATTGAAGTACGAAATAACCCCCGCTCCCCTTAGTGAAAAGTGGAACAGCTTATAATCCATAAGAGACACAAGTAATGGCAAACCAAATGTAATTTGGTAAGTGATAACTAGCAGTGGGATGCAAGATACAGATTTCGTCTCTTCTGGAAGTCGTCAACTGGCTGGGTATGTCTGCAATCTCCAGTGAGTAATATTGTCTCCATCCATCGTTTCAGACGGCCAAAGCGTAGCCAATTAGACCACTTGAGTCACAAGAGCCACCTCTTATGGTCTAGTGGATAACGCTTTGGTGTTTGAAATGTAGAGTACTGGGTTCGAGTGTCAGTGGGAACACCGCCATGACTCAATGAGGAGTGTAGGCACATCCAGTTGAAGCGTCCCAAAACAGGACGAAATCCGCATCCTGAATCCCGCCCCTAATCACAGTCTACCAAATTACTTATTGATGATGACCGTCAGACATCGCATCGAAGCATCCGCGTACGAGGAGCCGACATAGTTAACACACAGATTGAGCATTTTGGTCCAATCAATTAACGGGAAAATCAAAATTGACTGAAATCAAGGTTACAATTTGCAATCTACACAATTCGAGTGGTGAAATTTCACCGTGGTTTCCTGTGGAAACCAAATAATCAGATCACGGTATGTGGTCTTCTTGATACCATAAATAGTGATCAAGAACACAAGCCGGTGGGTGCATACTGATGAAGAGTCCCAAACTAGGACGAAACAGCTGTCCAGTACTCCCAGGTTTTCCAGTGGTTCTCTAACTGATGTCAGCTCATGATTAAATCCTCCATGCAATCAAACAAAATCCCTACAAAACCAATACTTGAAAAACAAGCATATTTACATAAAACGACATACTACTGATTGATTGAAATGAGTAGTAGGGCTTGCCAACCAGCCAAATCCAGATCCGTACTATGACGATGCTTGGGTGTAAAGGGAATGCCGAGAAAAAACATTGCACTGATCAAGGCAATCACTGTACACTCAAACTCATGCAGCTAGGTGAGGGCTTACGGCGAGTTGTCATATGAAGTGGTAACAACTAGTGGTGTCTGTCAGAGATGCCCATTATCCCCATTTCTATTCAACTTCATCATAGATGTACTAATGGACTTAACCCTAACTCACTTCAGAAACTCAGGGATTGACTTGCCACCAGAGAATAACCTCGCTGACTTGGAATATGCAGATGATATAGTCCTGACTGCTAGGTGAAGACACTGACAAAATGGAGAGTCTTCTGAGCACTTCGAGCTGCAATCTCCCAATGTTTGGCATGCGATTCGCTCCCTCCGTCAGATGTAAGGTGATGATACAGAACTAGACTGCACTGATCCCTAGCTTAGAAATAAAGAGTGAAGTGGTAGAGCGGGTTGACCACTTCACTATTTTGGGAAGTTGCATTAGCCAACGCCTGCGGGTTGATCGCTGACAACATCTCAGCATGGATAAAGGGCTCGTTTCGCATATGCCAGTTTACGCCATCTCTAACTTATTAGACGTGATATCCAGCTATGGACTAAAGGGCGGGTATACTGCTCAGCAGTCCGCTCCATCCTCCTTTATGACTGTGAGACCTGGTCATTGAGAGTGGTAGACATGAAAAGCCTGGATAGCTGTCTTTGATCATAGGTGCCTGGGTTCTATCTCCCATGTGAAGTGGTATAAAAGGGTGAGCAATATTGAGATTAGGCATCGGTCGAGTGCTAGGTAAAGAGGAGGGGAAATCAATCGACGAGACTGTGAAGTTACATCGACTGAGATGGTTAGGATATGTGTTACGTATGCCTAGCCGTCACCTTCCTCGACCGACGGGCAATGTTAGCTGGTATATGGTCAAGTTGGAAAAGAGCTAGCACGTGGTAGTCAAACCAAAACTTGGTATCAGTCAATGAAATCCACAACAGTTAGTTTAAGCCACGTAGGTTGGGGTCCTCGTGATAGTAAGAAGCAATGAAGGCTGGAGACAATCAGTGATATGCCTCGAAATCATTCTCAGTGATGGCTAGCGCAGATACATCCACTCCTTGTGACTTATAATACCCAATGAAACTATATCGTTCTTCGTTATTAGTATTCCCTTTGTCTCATGTCCCTGTCTACTGTCTCTATCATGCATTTCTTCTACTTTCTTCCCTCGCTTTGTGTGCTACATGAAGGGAGTGTGGCGACTTGAACTGCTGCATATCGGTGCAAAGTTCTATGTCGAAAACAAACAGACAGATCGAGGTGCTCTAAACACCGGACGGCTGTTTCGCTCGTTTAGAGTCGAGCTCAGCTCATCGCCGGTGTATCAGGTTCCCATCCAGCTCATAGAGCTGAATCAGTTTATCAAACTACCCGATTACTGATTCACCTCTCTCTCTCTCTCTGGGCTGAATTAAACCGGGTACACCGCTGATGAGCTAAGCTCGACTCCAAACAAGTGGAACAGCCGGCTGGTGTTTAAATCACCTCGACCTGACTAGTTAGTAAGTACTACTTGGCTGATACAAGGTAGTATACCACAACGACTCATTTTAATCAATCAGTAGTATATAAATTTTATGCAAAAGTTGAATGAAAGTTTTGAAAAGAAAAAACAAAACAACAGAGAAACAAAGAGAGAGAGAAACTCACCTGTATAACATAGAATAGACTATTACCCAAGTGAATTAATGTAACAAACATTAAAACAATTAATATACGTCCACCGAGTAGTATATACTGTCGTTGAGTATTTTCACCGGATGATGGTAGGCCAGCTAACAGGCTACGACTTTGTTGTTGCACTTCAGCCAGCAGTAGTAATAAACTACCAATCAATGAGAGATTACGCATAAAGAATACATGCGTCCAGATATTATAACCTATCGTCTACACAGATGAAGAGTAGACAGAATGTGAACACCATTAATTAGAAATAATAGCGAATTATTAATTATTAAAGTAAAAGCAAACTAGAAGTAAAAATTTAAAAAACATTTTTTTTAAAAAGACTAAAATGTTTTACAGGGAACGACTTATGAAGAGGTTAAGACCAAGGTAGAATAAGAGACTGGACAAACGCTTTCTGTATACAGAGTTCAGGGTTGTATTGACGAATTGCCAGCGCCTCTGCCATACACACACAAAAGCTGAAACCTAACGACGCCCTTCGTACCATTTGGCCTCACCTTGTAGATGATCTTGAAAGACGACTCTGGCGGAGAAGCATAATATATTAGTCAGTGAAACTATTCATCTTTTGACGTTTTTTTAACATGTTTGATGAGACCAAATATTTCATACACTGATACACTCCGTCACACACCTGAAAGATTCTCATATTATGATGTGTCTTTTGCTGTACAGACACACATCTGGTCAAGTCTAGAGAATAGTATGTTATGACCCACTATCAATAGTTTCTGTATATACCAAAGATACATGGATAATACTCTCATCATATCTGACGACAATACTAACATCGAAATGATAACTAAAGAATTCAACAACCGCCATCATAGAATCCAGTTCACGTCAGGACCAGAGATGAACTCGAAATTCCATTTTCTGGATGTTTTCCGAAAAAAGAGATCTGACGGTTCTCTTCAAACATCGATCTACACGAAACCAACATGGAATGGTCAGTCAATACACGAGTTTTCATAGTTGGAATCCTTTGAGGAGAAAGAGAAATCTGATCCACTCCTTATCTTCAAGAATAATAAGGATATGCACCAGTGAAACTGGAGATACTCAGGCGAGTCCTCATGGAAAATGGATATCCTCCAAGATTCATCGAGAAAAACATCAAGGTAAAGCAAAAGCCCAAAAGAACCCGGACGGTGTCGAAGAAATTGCCACTTATGAACGTTGAATTTAAAGATGATACCGCAGCTGAAATCCTGAAGAACCGCTGCTTACCCAGATCACTGAGAAAAGCCTTCTTTGCAGCTGAGCTACGGACCAACTTCTACAGCCGATAAATGATCAGTGGATGTGTGAGGGATAAACTGCCATTTTGGGCCATTTCAATATGTTTATAAATTCACCTGCTCGTGTGGAGCTAGTTATATTGGTCGCACAAAGCGCACACTTTCTAGACACATCTGTGAACATTATCCGGCATGGTTAGCAAAAGGACAAAACAAGATAGTTACTAGCTCAATTCTCGAACACTTGGTGAACTCAAGCCACACAGCCACGCTGGAGTCATCCTTTTTTGATTATCTAAAAGGTGAGGCCAAATGGCACAAAGGGTGTCGTCAGGTTTCAGCTTTTGTGTATGGGGGAGGCGCTGGCAATTCGTCAATACAACCCTGAACTCTGTATACAGAAAGCGTTTGTCCAGTCTCTTATTCTATCTTGGTCTTAACCTATTCACTAGAAATAATAATCAACACATAGAGAATATTAATCAAAAATATTATGATGATTGATCTACTAGGGTGTAGTCAATGTTTCAAGTTTGACCATGGACTGATACGAGTTAGTAATTAGAGGACCAGAGAGTGCTGGACAGTCAGTTGTTTTGTCAGCCTACTTTGGGACTCATCTGCTGAGATTCAAACCCAGAACCTTCCAGGTAAGCTCGTAGACTATTCAGTGGGCTACAAACGAATTCTAACTTCTACCGATTTTTGATTTTACCGCAACCAATGTCTTATGAAATAATACAGAAAAATACCCGACCGATAACTGCTACATTGGATATGTGGTGGTCGAGTTTGCGCATCACAATCGCCAAACAAGTCACCCTGACTGCTATGAATGTTCCTGAAGGTCCTATCACGTTAGAAAGCTCCTTTGCAAGTGGTTAGACAAAAGCAGATACCATTACAATCTGTTGGAGGATCTGAAGGTGAAGTCATACTGTCGGCTAGTAAAAGTGTAACAGAAGTAGGATGTTTTGTTTCGACAGTCGGCAAGCTAGTTTTACTGCCTTCCCGCTGTGGACAATGAGTGGTTAGTAATAACCACACCTACCTTTCCATGAGAATTGTCATCTAAACAAAAAGAACATTAAGAATAGTTTGTATCACATACTGTAGGGCATTTGTCAAGAGATATTGGCTTATATAGGATTTTAGGTTGGAAAGGAGTTGCAAGTGATCAAACCAAGACAATGGCATCAATTCATGATACAATTAACTGTTCGTTTGATTCATGTAGGTAGGGGAGTGTAGACTGCCTGCATAACTGAAGTAATAGAGATACTAAGAACCAATGAATTGAGACCTTCAGTGATAGGACTCAAATTTTCTCTCAATGATGCAGAGGCATTCACTGCTTAAAGTTCTAAGAAACGTCTGAAGGAAGAGTAAGTTCGGAATACTCTGGAGATTTCAACAACTTCAGCTACTGCCTTCTCTTTGTTTATATAATCGTTTTGACAGTCACACTTGTTATGTAAGAGTTGATGATAATTGCAACTTAGTCGCCTAGGCTGAAGTAAGTGGAGTGGAACTAGAGCCTAGCATCCAGATTGGTTGAAATTCAATTACTCTAGTGAATCAGCCACGTTGCGCATGAGTTAATCACCCCATAGTACAGCCCTAGGTACAAAAAATGATGATCAGACTGAATTTAACCATAATACTAAAACAACTAAATTCTTTTTATAACCTTAAATATATTTCAAATGGATATTTTGTTTGACACAAAGATTACTTTATGAGACTGAGAGAAATCCCTCATAAACGACCTACTACAGCCGAGGATAGATAGTCTACGACCATAGTCTCTGCTGGGTGAGTCCTATTCCCTGCCTCCATGCAACCAGAGTTCTACTCACAAAAAAAGTGAAAAGGTGAATGCGAACATCTGGAGCTTACAACAACGGGACTGGTGGACATGTAAGTCTGTGGCACAGTGGTTAGGACGCTCGCCGACCATGCGCATGGTCCGAGGTTCGATCGCCTGCCGACGCACACCTGATATCTATGGTCGACCTGCAAAATTTGGGCTACCGATAACCATGCTGAAAATTCCATACTTGTACCAAAAATACAGTGTGGAATCAAGTTGTAAATCAAAATAAAATAACTTGGGCTGGCTGGAAAAACCCTGATTATTGCAAACCTATGGTGTAGTTAAAGGGGTCCAGAATCCGAAAGGAACCTATTTTGGTCAACAGGACTTATGAGAACATAGCTCCTGACTTTCATCCACTGTCGTGTAGATGAGACTTTAAGTCAAAGGCTCCGGAGGAAGGCAGTGGTCCCTCAAGACAACCACCTACTTCAGTCCAGGCACCCGAGCAGTAACTCAACTCTCACACAAACTATGAGAGATGACATTGAAACAAAGACGGCTATTGATGTCGTGAGAGGTGAATCAATAAAAAGAAGCTCAGCTTGACTCAAGTTTCTTCCTTGTCTGCACTCATACACCATGTTCCTATGAGAAAAAACATCTTCATACATAAATATAAACCTGTTTTAATCAACTTCAAAATTAAAAGGCGTGTTACTATCAAACAATTTAGCGCCACAACTGAAGTATTTGACTTTTAACCATTTGCGTTATGGGTTCCAACTCGACTTCACCCATCGAAGTTGAGGAAGACTTTGGGTAAAGTATCATTAGCGTTCAAACAATAGATAAGTCCTTGCTAAATGTTGAGCACAACTCAGATTTAGTCTCATTGTGAAAATGTGAACAACTTCATAAATGTGTTATCAATCACTATTATCTCTAACTCTAGCTAATGTTGATTGTATTTCGTAAGAAATAAAACTATCATCGTCTTATAAAATCTACTCTGTTTAACCTTAAAATATTTTATGTGTAATCTCAACAACTTTGGTAAATGTGGTGACACTACTTTTTTTTTCTTAAGAAGGAACTGAACTTGATGTGAATTTTCAACGTGAAACTTTGCACACAAAAGTACAACACTTCAAGTTGCCACGCTACATATAGTGCAAAAAGGTTGAGAAAAATAAGAGATACAAAAGCAGTTTAAATGAGTAGAAATAGGCAAGAGAAAGACTAATCACATAGACAATAATGACAATCTAATGAATCTAGGAGGTGGGTGGTCACAGACAGTGAGTGAGTGAATAAATCTGTTTTATTAAAGAGTCATATCACCAAAAGTGTCAAGCTATTGCTTCTTACGGTATTCATTAAGACCAGGCAAGCAGTTGCAACTACCTTTAGGTGGTTCAAACCAACAGTTAAAGACAGTTTCGACTTGATGACTCTTATCTGTTTTCTGGAGTGATCCTGCTATGCCAGCTAACACTGTTCGATGAGGGATGAGGTAACTAGCTAACTCAATCGACAGAATTTCACAAGCCTATCGATCGACTTACTTTGCTTATCTAACACTCTCTACACCTGACCTCCATATTACTCACAACAGTAGGCTACATAACACAAGAGATAAGTTAAAAACATCATCAATGTGGTCGAACAATGTTAGCCACTTCATAGTTTTAACTTTCCAACTGTTACATCTCACAGGAGTTAAGTAAGGAGCATAAAAGGTAGGCAGTTTATGAAACAACTTTGTGAAGTAGTAGACGATAACTGCTACTAGGTGCGTAGCTGAACTATGCTTAATTCAAAGGAGACTTCATGAATTATAGAACTTAATTGCCTTAAAGCATCAAGTCAGAGATATTGGAATGAGTAAATTTCTCGGAGTAATATCACTTTCAAAACATCAACAACAACACCAACAAAAACAAAATCAACGTTATAAGTAGAAATTTCATCTAATATGGTCACATTTGTATATATATTGTGATGTGAATTTATTTACCTTTTGATATGGTGGTTTACCACTTTGAACGATGTAATTTTCAAACAACGAATTTCATTCTATGAATTGCCACAATCCACTCAAGTACCTAACCTACCTACCTACTTAATCAGAATTCGAATAGTCTGAACTGATTTAGCTGTCATACTGAGTACACTACTGCTGATGATGATCTCGGCGTTAGGCAAGCTCAAAGGATGTTCAGTGTTTACTTCACTTTAATAATGCTGTTTGTGAGTAGTTCCCAACTGCTTATATCAATCAAACATAGGAAAGAAAAATACGTCACATTAAGCAAAAACTTAAACGCCTATCACACATATGTACATATAAGCTTACTTGAAATAATACAGTCGCCATAAGTATTCCAACACCAATTTTCACATGATAACGACTCAAAACAAGTGAACTTCCAATAAATTGTGTACAGATATTTAGTAGAATAAAAAATGCAGCAAACATTACAGGAATACCCCATACAGATTGTATATAATCTACTTGATCTGACCATTGTGTTAATAGACGAAATCCATCTTCAATAAATGTTGATACAAGACAAAATCTTGCTACATGTGGTAGATACCGTCGACTTTTTCTCACCAACTGTGGAAGAAAAAATGAAGAAAAGAAAAAAACATGGTATTAGTCTTGGTTAAAAGATGCACGCTGTAATTGGGAAGTTTAACTGACTGAGTGACTGACTGACCGAATGACTAATTGAGTTTCAATATAGAACTTTGTACAGAAGTGTAGCAGTTCATGTGTCTACAATCCATAATAACACATAAACTAGACGAAAGGGTGGAAAACAGAGATGCATAAGGACTATAAAATGAACAGAAATTTACGGGAGAAAGAACAGTATCTTGAAAAAAACGAGAATTTAATGGGTGTGGGAATATTGAATGCATTTGCAATATTGACAACGGTTTTGAGCCATATAATCACCAATAGTCTCAAGGACAGTAATCAGGCCGTCTACGAACCCTACCCCCAATAATGTGGCTTAAACGAACAGTTAAAGACTTCATAGATTGATGAGATATTTTGATTTGACCGTGCTTAACTCTTTCCCAACTTATTCCTATATCAGCTAGCATTATTGGTCTAGGAAGGCGATAGTTTGGAATGCGTAACACATATCCTGGCCATTGTCTCAATCGACAGAGCTTCACAACCTCATCTACTGACTCCCCTTCCTTACCTAACGCCTGACGTCAAGGGTACTCATCACATTATAACTGGGAATCAAAATGTAAATTTTCTACAGAAATTTGTATAAATACCTACAAAAATGAAAAACAAGTTGTTTATTAGTATAACTCTAATAGTTGACAAATCAGTAATATTCACGTAGAAGTGTTTGTTCTCTGAGCTGAAGACAGTATCTTGAACACTTTTCACGACAATACTCCTAGTTATTTTTATCAATGTCAGTTAGCGATTACTACCACGAATCACACAAAGAAGGACTAAAGGAATGTTACTGAACACTGTAATCCAAATAATGTCTTAACAATCATACTTTCAACCATAGATATTTTCTTTATCACTTGAATATGATATTCGACTGCTTAGACAGACACTATTAATATAAGGACGCAGTTACCATACCTATTATAATCACATAAAATACGAGTAGATATGTAGGTCACTGGCTTAAGAATTTCACTTGTAACCAGTACATCTCACGTTCAAATCCACATTTCGGTAGCCACACAGAATCAAGCCAAATCACCTGCACTTTGTCATAAGATGCAGATAAATAGTTAATGACTCTATGGACGGGTTTTAGTTTGATCAACCTTCACTTTTTCCTCAGTTGCTATTACAGCCACCAAGATGACATCTTCGAATAAGCTGTTATTGTCTGTTAATTTATTTATTTACAGATTTGATACGCCATCGACACGAAAAAATGAGTAGAATAAATGAATGAAATCACTGAAAGGATATTTCTGCTGAACTTCTTGTTCTTTGCCCTCCAATGTCCTGGCTGGCATTTTTCATGAAACAAATAAAACAGTATCATCTAATATTATGATTAAAACAGATAGGACCACTGCTTTAAGTTTTGATTTGAATTCTAATCGATAAGACAGTACAGTAACATCAATAGATATACGCCTACGGGTCCTAGTGACCAAACCAGTTTTCAAAGTCAACTCTTTTAATCGGATCCCCATTTTACTATTTACTTGTATGCAGAGTTTTACGCCTACTCCCTATATATTAATTTGATGATGAGAATTGCACATTCATATCGGGGTCCTTTCATTTCGTAAGAATAGCCACATCATGTGAAAATAATCAACAAGAATCGCTTGACAGAGGCTATGAACGAGCAGCTACATGATGGCGTTAAAAGTAACTGCTATCCACCTAACTTTGAGCGTACCATATCATTTACCAAAAGGGTAAGCATGTAAGAGTTGGCGTAAGATAGGTGATGAGAAAAAAAATCATTCGGTTAAAATCAAAAATCCTAAGTCAGCAAGCCAATAACACACAAGTACGGTTTTTTGAATTGCTAAAAGGTATGATATAGCAGTACGAAAAAGTTTATGCAAGAAAGGAGCAAACCTGTGCATAGGTCTAAATTGAGACACAATGCACTGATAGACACAACAGCAACAGATGCAGAATAGAATAGTAGGAAAATAAATAACATCGAAGTTGAGAAGAGGGGCATATATAAGAGAGAGATAGTAACAAAATGTTTTGAATATAGTAAACTGACTACGTCTACAAGTGTTACTAAGTCAATTAGAATTCTTAACTGCTAATTCCTCCTAATCTTGCAGACAGTCCATCATTCCCCACATACTTCATAACTCATGCATTCTACTTACGAGACGACAGATGGGCGGTTAAGTCACTGTAAAAGAACCTGAAGTTATTTTAAAATTGCTAACGAGTCAAATGCACCATTCGATGAGAAATTACATCTACTGCTGTCTAACTGTGCATGTACTGAACACACAGACAAAAATAAATTACAATCACGGAGCAAAACAGCATAAAAAGTGGAAATTAACATGAGGATGATAACTTTGAGCAACAAATAGATTCGAGAAACAAATTAATTAGAAAGTTATGATATTTGGGATTTTAAATGAGATTAGTAAACGTATGCAAATATACGGAATTTCGGCCTTACCAACAAGTTAAAGACTATTTACATTAATTGTTACTAGTCTAAGAGTTGAATGTAACATGAGTCTGTCTTCAGGTAATAAAACCTAACGAAAACGAATTAGTATACATTTCCAATTCTTCTACATGCATACATCTGTTGCAAGAGACTCGCCATAATATATAAAACCTCTATTTTATGCATACGTACACATACATCTATTCAATTCTACGAAATAAATTATAGAGTCAAATGCTATTTCCTCCACTTAAACTTTTGTCCGCAAAAAATAAGGTTATTGTACAACTGTAAATGTAATGTGTATACGTCAATCATGACAACTTCGATACTGTGAAATAATGCTAGGATCTATATAGACATCTATCTGTAGATGTGGCTGACTGACTTTAGTACTTGACTTTAATACAGTAAATACCGACTTACAATTCCACTCCATCCAATCTAAGATGTCTAACTAACCCTCACAACAAGTGTCTCATGGCCAGGCACATGGAAAGTCTTTTTAGTACAACTGAGCTCCAGCTAAGTTGCTTACTACTCACGAATGGTGTTAGCTACTCCTTCTCATGAGTATTAGTACTAGGATGATGAATTCAGTAACTAACGTATCAACTTAAGACTTAGCACAGAAGTGAATCAGTCCAAATTAGCACAATTCCAAGTAACATAAAGAGACATAAGCAATGACCAAATATGTATGTGATGACAACAACTAGGTGAAGAATGGTGAACCTTTTGAAAAATTTAGTAAACATAAGAAGTAGAAACAGCCGAAAAGGGACAGACGTTTGAAAATTACGCAGCCAATCATCTGACTACTAACTTCGTTTTATAGTCTGTATTTCTTGAAAAGTTTATTAAATTATGTGCAAAGATTCGTATATTTGTGTCATTATTTTTTTATTGTATCGCTCCAATACGACTTGACCGTTGAGCCAAATTTGGCTACTTAGTAGCCAGTACTGCTCTACAAATGATGTTGACTGTGCTTCACACATGGTGAATGCTCAAAAAAAATAACTAAGGATCTGCATGTTATAAATAGAATACACAGGCATCTATAAAAGACTAATTTTACATGTAAGCCGTAAAGTTTATAACACCTGAAGGACAACAAAGAATGATTCTATGGAATCACTATGGTGAACGTTAAGAGTATTAATAATGATGATATCTCAACCGTTGTTTATCATATAATAATTACCCAGTCTGCATGGTCATCCAATCTGTCTAAAAGTTCTCTGCTAGCAGGATTACGGTGCAATATTTCAACCATTTTGAGCAACCAGAAAAATCAAGAGAGCGACGTAGCAAACTTGTGTTGAAAAATACTTAAGACGAAGTAACATAAAGTGCCTCAGACAAACAACAGGCGGTAGACATATTTTTGGTTGCGTCTATGGGTTTCGAATCCTACTTAGTTTTCAGTGTACAGGCCCTTTTATCCCATTAGTAAAGGAATCATGCGGAGCCAACTAAAACTTGTCTTCTAAATGCTTCACTGACTTACTCTTCGGACTACACCGACTATTACGTCCCTCACGCTATTATTATTGATATGCATACATCAAGTAAAGACTTCATTATCTATCTTTTTATACATTTTCTTCCTTTTTATTTTTTATTCTAAATAATCCGAACTCATTACATCAGTTATTATTGTTATCTCTCTTTTCGACCACGTCGGACGACAAACGGGTGAAAAGATCACAGTACCAGCACGGTCTTAACACGCCACATGCTAGAGACCACATATAATCAATTATAGCAGCACCTTTTTTCAAGTCAACCAGAGCCACGACAGTCGAGTGGCAGGACAAACTACTCAGAAGCTCAACGAAGACCAGGTGTGGTGAGAGCTGGCTGCTAGCCAAATGATAGACAGTAATTTACGTCAATCTTTAAGTCCCCAATATTGGTCGTGAGAAAATATGAACAAAGACTGGTTCAACAACCAACCACAGCAGACTTTGCGTAGTCGGATACAGTTAACATATAGATGACCTGACACTCAAGAAATGGCCACAAAGAGATGAAAGATTAACTTTCTGTGAGAAACAACCAATCAGAAGACTGTGTTTATTTGCTCAAATAATCTATAATAATGTACATGAAAATATATAAATACGTGTTGATTTCCTTAATAAACGATCTGTTACCTGGCCCTTGTCTTCTGTTGTTACATTTGGTGTCGCTGCCTGTCGCGAAATGAAAGTCCCACGGCCTGCAGCTTTTGAAGAAGGAGATATATGGATCTTCTTGAAGGACTTCGAAGCTGTTGCAGAATTGAATGGCGCGCAAGAGCCATCAGCGAAGACGCTTTTACTTGGAACGCTGCTGAGAGGTCGGGCGAAGGCAACACATGATAGTGTGAGGCAAACAGAAGGGTAAGCAACTTGGAAGTCAGTGGTTGAACGCTTGAAACAGGAGTTTGACATCCCGATGGACAGAGGGCGGGCAATGTAGCAGTTTCGTACCACGAAGGTGGGAGTTGACGGTGATCCTCTCATATTGCCACTGACCCTGACAAGCCTACTGCATCGCGCTCAACCAACACTGGACGAAGATTCTGAGGCACAAATATTAGAGTCCCAGTTTATGGAGAGTGTTCCAGAACACATATCTCAACAGCTATGTGTGATCAACGCTGTACAGCCACTGGATATTGGGGAGCTTGCGGACGTGACCAGACAACTGTTAGGCAAGATGGTCGCGGCGGTAGAACCACCAAAAACCGGGCAGTGTGAGAGATAAATCAAAGAGTTACAACGTGAAGTGGTCACGCTGAGACTGAGCGTGCGTAGAGACTGGTGTTTTGCATGTGGCAAACTGGGGCATGCGATGACCGCTGCACGAAGAGACGACAAAGAAGAATTTCTAGAGGATATACTGTGTCTTCTTCCTGTATTCCGAGACTTGAGGTAATAGGGACGATAGAGAAGGGTGAGATATATTCGAAGATGCGTGTAAATGAACGCGAGTTGGTGTGTTTAATCGACACAGGGGCAGCAGTATCACTCGTAGATAGGAGCATGTGTGAGAGTATAAGACCGTGTTCCTTGACACTGCAGACAGTAAGAGGTCGTGTTAAGAATCATGGGAGTGTCAGATTGCAGGGTTAGAATTGGAGAGGATAGCGTGACGCTTCCATTCCTGGTCGTACCTGAATTGCGCCGAACAATCCTTGGGGCCAACTTTTTGAGAGAAATGGATGCAGTGAATAACATGAAGAAAAGGGTTGTCGTTACGATGTATCCGTGTTTCAGCATGCACGAGAATAGTGGGGTGGCAGGTGTTGCGGCGTCGGAAGTTTTAAGTGCAGCAAAGTAACTTAGCAAATACGACCACCTTTTCACTGGAGAGGGAGATCCGTACGGTTAGTGTGATGAAGTGAGACACGAAATTCCAGTGATAAGCGGAAAAGTGAGACCATTAGTTACTCGAAGAGTCCCATGTCACTTAGAAAGCGAGGTTGCAAGACAGGTTGAAGAGATGGTGAGGGATGACATTATTTAAGAAGCCGATAGCCCACATAGTTCTCCAGTGCTATTGGTGAAGAAAAGCAACGGGAAATACAGATTTTGTGTTGATTTCCGACAGTTGAATGGTATGACAGAGCTGAGATCGTGTACGATGCCAACAATAGCAGAAACTTTAGGCCACTTACAAGGTGGGAAGCTGTTCATAGTCTTAGATCGGGCTACTAGCAACTGCCAATAGAACGAGGAGATGGAGATGAGACAGCGTTCTTTGTGGGACAAAAACTGTGTCGGTTTAAACGCATGCCTTTTGGATTGGCAGGTGCCCCGTTTACATTTAGATGACTAATGACGTTGCTTCCATTATCCAATATCCAATATCCTGATTACGAGCTAGTATAAACCAGTGATTTCTTTGAGCTCGCTTCTTGATTGTGAGGTAGAGGTTCCAGATCTTCGGTGAGCTTCTGCGTAGTAAGTCCCGACACTCGACTGCTTTAGCTCTGGTAGACTCCAGGAGGAGTGGTGCGGGGATTGGTCGAGATGTGGTTTGTAGTATGCAGTATGTTAGGACTGTATTGTTGCCGTGAATGGAGTTTGACCTAACTCCCGTTGGTCATTCGGTGTAGTCATAAAAGCAGAATAGTAATAATAATAATAGGTTGTAGTGTAGATAATATAGGTTGAGATAAGTGGAATAATAAAGGTGACCTAAGGAAAAGATAGAGTGAGAGAAGGCAGAATAGGTCGTGGGGATTTAGTTTGTACGCTTATTCATTGACAGTGTGGTTTCAAATTTTATGAGGATAAGCCATTGAGACACAAACCTTGCATTTCTGCATGATTGTCTAGCTTCCGCTTAAAAATCTCCAGAGATGGCGCTGTAGTCACGGCCGCCGGTAAAGCGTTCCAGAGACGGCGAACACGAAGCGAACAGAAATGTGATCGCACTCGAGTCTTTGGTCTCTGGTGTGCTATCCTTAGCGGGTTACCTCGTGGAAGCCTATAATCGCTTAATGGCAGGATGCTTTTATTTGGGTGGGCCTGGTCATTTAGGATCTTGTAGACGGTGATGAGGTCTCCCCTGTGCCTTCGGTAACTAAGTGTGAAAAGTCCTAATTTCTTTAGTCTTTCCTCATATGATTTGTTGCGGAGGCCGATCACCCATTATGGGTAAATTTTGTTTTGATAAAGTCTCACAGTGTTATACAGTAATGTTTACTGATTACATTACATTACTGTATAACACTGTGAGACTTTATCAAAACAAAATTTACCCATAATGGAATTACACTCTACCACAGTGCACAAGTTTTATTCTTATATTGATAACGTTGCTGCTGAAGAATTTGAGGAACGTCGAAGTTTACGGAGATGATCTAGTGATATACAGTACGAGCGAGACTGACCACGTACAGCGTGTAGAGGTGGTCCTAAGATGCATCGAAGAATTCGGTCTACGCATCAACAAGGCGGAATCTCAGATTGCCAAGATGAACGTTACACTTTTGGGTCACAAGGTGGGAAATGGCGGGATAACATCGCTGCCGGAAAAATCTGAACAATCAAGTTCGTGAAAAGCTTCAACAGAGTATCGGCTCCTCTCTACCGGCTATTAGGCGAGTCAAAGTTTGTCTGGTCGGAAGATTCGCAGGGGGTATTTGACCGCATCAAACAAATGATGGATCACCAGAGAATGGCGCTGCAACTACCGGTGCCCGGAGAGCCGTTCAAAGTGTCCACCGACGCCAGCGATTACGGAATAGGTGCAGTACTCAGACAGGGCGACGGAGTCGTCAAGTACGCCAGCAGTGTTTTAACGCACACGGAACAGAAGCACTCAACAACTGAGAAGGAGTGTTTGGCAATCGTGTGGGCGCTAGACAAATGGAGACCCCGTTTACTGGGTCAATGCTTCCACATAGGGACTGATCATTAGCCGTTGCATTGGTTGAGAACTGCCAGTGACCCACGTGGGAAGTTGTCACGGTGGATGCTGCGCCTGCAAGAGTATGATTTCAAGATCTCTCATGTTCCAGAAGAAGATATCTAGAACAGAAGAGGTAGAGTTACCTGAAATATCATATGAAGTAAATGCCTTAGAGAAGGACCCAGCAAGACTTGTCCAGATTCGAAGATCAGACGACATCTTGAAAACTATCACACAAGTGACGACTAACGAAAAAAAAGTGAATCGGCCCACAGCGAACCGTGAGCTAAATCTCCTACTCAAACAGAAAGACCGGCTGAGCGTGAATGCCTGCGGAATGTTGAAGTGGCAGGAGGAAGACGGAAGCTGCTTAGCAGTAATACTTCAATGCCTGCACCAACAGATGATACAGGAATGTCACCGACTAGCTCACACAGGTGTTGCCTGAACGAACGATCTCCTGAGACAAATCATGTACTGGCTGGGTACGAGAGAAGACGTCGAGAAGTACGTAACAGCGTGTACGCAATGTCAGCTGATGAAGGGTGATCAGTACATACGACCGTCACCGCAGTCGATTCCAGTGACGGCAGTAGGCGACCTGTGATCCGCAGATGTAATGGGACAAACGTCTTGTGGTAGTAAATATCTTCTGGTCATGCCAGAACATGCCACACGATGACTGGACTCGGTCGCGATCCCTGCTCAACGAGCAGAAACGACGACAGTGGCAATAGTTTGACATATCGCTGCAAACCACGGTGTGTCAAAAGAGATATTGACAGACCAAGGTCCGTGTTTTGAAACCGAAGAGTTTAAAGTTCGGCTGCAAGAGTTAGGTATCAAGAAAATTAGAACAACGCCAAATCATCCACAAACGAAAGGGTTGACGGAAAGAAGCAACCTCACCCTCAAAGAGTGGCTGCCGAC